TCATGATTATGACAAAAGTGGAGAAGATCTTATTTCTACCAAGAGGAAATGGTTGTATGAATTCTGGTGTATTTATACAATGCAATGCTAAGAATGAATCTGCACTGATGGGCAAAAATGATCAAATAGAGAGCTGAGTGGAAAAATCAAGAAAGGGAAATATATGGTAAAATCCTATTGTATTAAAAATAAACTGTATACATGTTTGTACTAAAAAAAATCAAAGAGGTTCTAAAACACTTGGTCAAATAGGATCATAGGTCACTGTGAAATGACATTTGTACAATTAACTATGGTGACAGTTAAAACCTTTGCTGGCAAATACAGAAAGTTCAATAGTTGTTAAGTGAAACTTAGCTCTTTTAATAGAAAAGACTCATTTTTTAAAAGTAATCAAAACCCTGATTAAAACAATAAAGGAAATATTTTGATGAGAAACAAAATTTGTTTTCTAGACAGATTACTTAAAAGATAATGAAAATTTTTCACAGTCTCTTATCAGGAGTAGACCAGTAGTCCAAGAAAACTTTGTCCTTTAAACAGATGAAAAAAAATAAAGTTCTGGTTTTATATAAGTACACTATTGATATTGAAACTTACTTTTAAAATTCTATAACAAATTACTTCAGTCTCATTCAGCTTGACCACACATAAAAGTTCTTTCCCAATATTCCTTTTTTACAAACCTTCTACAACTTTCTATGTCCATATAGTTTGTCCCTTGATCTCTTTTTCATTCAGAAATAATCAGCTTTACTTCAGGGGAAAATAAAATGACTTTCTTTTCCCTCAGCAAAAATGCACCTGTATTTCTTGTACCTTTTCTTACCCAAAACACATATCCTACTTTGCTTGCATACAGGTTGTTTCCTTCATTACTTCTAGTAGCTTCAATTAGAATTCTTAACCCTTACAAACTTTAATTTCTATTGAAAACTAAGAAAAAAATAATTGTGAACTGTCTGTTATACCAGCATTCTTAACATTGACAAATTTATGCCTATATGTCATAATTTCTAGGAATATACATTTCCTTGTAACACAAGACACTAATACCTCTAATTTCTTTGTAATAAGAGGTCAATAGTAAGTAAACTTAGACTTGTTTAGCACTTAATGTTTCAGTATGTCATCTTATTTTGAAATGATCTAGACATTCAATTATTCCCATCATTTCACTTAGCAAAATTCTAAGGGTAGAAGTTACCAAAAAGATTTGGGAAAACTACTTAAGTGGTTATATCATGAAACCATCATGCTAAAAAATTCACCTAAAACCCCTTATTTCATTTACATCTATTTAGTTCATTTATTTTTATCCTACTTACATTACACCTGAAGATCTCATGAGACAAAAAGCAGTTAGTCATCATCTTAAGTTATTTTTCTTGCTGACAATTTTTGTAACAGATAATGAGCTTATTTGACTTTAGTAAACCTAGGTAGAACAAAAGTATCCTTAATATGGATAACTCTAAGGATATGTCTATATTAATTAAACCAACAAAGTTAAACTAGTTTTTATTTACTGAAAATTATATTAGATCATGTGAACTTGAAAAAATATTTAGGTTAGTTTCTATTATATTTATAAGATACTGAAATATTTAATTCATAGGCACTTATTTTTAAGCCAGTTTAATAGGGCTCTTTTATAAATTAATTTTGGCAATACCATCTGGACGTAGAAAAATACCATATCTATGATGTACGTAGACATATATACAGAGAGATCTTAGTTTTCATTTAAAAATTTTAGCCATGAATCAGGTATAATAATATAAAACTCACTTGTTTATAACAGAATATAAAACTCACTTGTTTATAACTAACAGAATAAGTTGAATTTATCTGTGTAGATGGCTAAAGCTTTTTAGTATTTGTAGAGAAGACTTTTAAGATTTGTATTTGTCCTTGACAAGTAATCTTATGGAGGCTGTGGTCTAGCGTTGGGTAAGAGTCTTTCTAACAGTTTGTATTTTCAAAAAGCCTCTTTCTAAGAGGCCTTGGAAAGGTGGGGTAGAAGGCACGGTGGCACCAGTATTCTGGAGAGAGCCTTAATTGTGTGTGAAGATCTTGGTAAACCGCTAAGAAGCACTGAATTTCGTTGTGTTTGGAAATGCTGAGCTCTGCCTTCTGCTTCGCTCAGTAAGCGGTGAGCCGGGCGTGTGTGTGGCCTCCTCCCAGGTGACGGTTCGCCTGGCTGAGATGCAGAGGCAGCGCTTTGTCTGGCGAGGGCGCGGGACTCGGTTCCCAGCCGGTTTCCTGGTAACAAAAAATGAGCTGTAACCTGAGAGAAGTGGTGGGAGTGAAGATGAAGAGAACAGGTGAGAGGCGGGACCGGGGAACCCAGCAGCTGAAGGGCAGGAAGGAGTATGAGAAAAGGAGGGGGGATTTCTGAGCCACGGTATTTCCTTTTGTTCTTAGAGTGAAACCCGCCCTCTCTGCCACTATTCTGTTTCTGTGCCCATTTTCTTCCACTCTGCCTTGCTTACCACATTCACAGTTTAGAATCTCCCCCTCTTCCCCTAGCCTGGACTTTACGTGGCTAGTTCCATTTCCCAGGATGCCAGTTCCACCCTTTGGAAGCGATTCCGGTGATCATCCTCAGTAATGCTGAGCCTCCCCTCCCTGACAGTGCTCCCCAAACCGGTTTCCCTCCTGGATTACATAGCCCGATCTGAGGTCTCCTTGTTGAAGTCTGCGCTTCCTCCCCCAGGAGAATGAAAGCACCTTGAGAGTGTGGGATCCTGTGTGTCTCACTGATGTGCTGTGTGTGCAGCACCTAGAAGGCTGCCTGGCATGTAGTCAGAGCTCCATAAGTATTCGTGCCACAAATGAATTCCATGTAGAGATCTGACTTGGGGACAGAGGTAGGAAATGGGGGAAGACACGGGTCTCAAGACACCATGCAGCAAATGGCTGCTGACTTGGACTGGGTAGTAGAGAGGAAACGGCAAATCCAAGAGATACTCAGGAGGCAATACTGACAAAATGTGGTGACGTACTGATAGGGGAGATATCAAGGACCTTTCCTGTGAAAAATCTTCTGTGAGGCATCTGTGAACCTGCATTCGTACTTCACCTCTTCATTCTCTAGAAACTAAGGGCAAAGCAGTTCTGTGTTAACGTTCTTCAGAGAAGCAGAACTGAGAGTGTGTGTGTGTGTGTGTGTGTGTGTGTGTGTAATGCGAATTGGCCCATGTGATTATGGAGGCCAAGAACTGAGAGGGTGTGTGTGTGTGTGTGTGTGTGTGTGTGTGTAATGCGAATTGGCCCATGTGATTATGGAGGCCAAGAACTGAGAGGGTGAGGGTGTGTGTGTGTGTGTGTGTGTAATGCAAATTGGCCCATGTGATTATGGAGGCCAAGAACTGAGAGGGTGTGTGTGTGTGTGTGTAATGCGAATTGCCCCATGTGATTATGGAGGCCAAGAACTGAGAGGGTGTGTGTGTGTGTGTGTGTGTGTAATGGGAATTGGCCCATGTGATTATGGAGGCCAAGAAGTCCCATGACCTGCTTGCTGCCTACAAGCTGGAGAACCAGGCAAGCTGCTGGTACAATTTGTCTGAGTCTGAAGGCCTGAGAGGGCAGGTGGATGGCCCAGCTCAGAGCTCAAATTCACCCTTCCTCTGCCTTTTTGTTCCATCCCGGCCCTCAGCCGATTGCCCGATGAGCACTTACACCGGAGAGGGTCATCTGCTTTTCTCAGTTCACCAATTCAGGGTTTCTTTCAGAAACACCATCACAGACCCTGAGTATATAGCATATTGTGGAGGCCACCATGGGCACTGGTGGCACAAACAACCCCCCTACATTTATATCCTATGAGCAAAGTCGACAAAGACTGACATGTCCACAGATATGTACATAACATGCTTTGGATGGTGATGCGTGGATGAAGCAAGGAAAACAGTGAGACAGAGTGGGGTGGGGTCACCGAGGCAGCTCTAAGTTTGGTGCTTCTTGAGCTGAGATCGAACTACCAGAAGAGACCAGCCACGAGATGGCCCACGGCAGCACCTTCAGAACCAGTTTCTGGTAGAAGAGTAACTGAAGTGGGGTTTTGTTTTCATGCTTGAAGGAATGAGTTTGGAGAAGTTGGTGCCATGGAAATTCAACTTTAAGTACTTTTAAACAAATCATTGTAATGCTCATTTACTTATTGAAATATTTTCCTCTTAAAAGTTGTTACATAAAACATTTTAGAGGTGGCCCTAATTTTAAAGAGGAAAATTTCTACCAATCATAAATAACTAACATGATTTTCAGTAAAGGATAGAGTCATAACTGTTATACAGATGTAAAAATGAACATTTGTTAAAGGTTTTACTTACCTCATTAATCATGGAGGAAACTAGGCAGACGTTATAACAGATTCAAAGGAGAAATCAAAACAGAACAAATTTATATGGAGTAAAGTAATGTTGACATGAATGTGCATATTCAGGCAAAACTCCACAGTGGAGGAGGGCAGTCAGTTGAATGTCTGCTGGTCAGGACAGAATTTACATGCCTACACACAGTAATTATTTTTGCTTTGCTGTCAGTTACTTATAACTGATAGCACTGTAAAACAGTTACCATAGAATCAAAAGGACATAACCTGGAGGGGTCTCTTCTAGTATCTAGATGATGCAGATCCACTGAAGCATATTTATTCCCTACATAATCAAATGAAAACTAAATAACCTTCCCTTCCCTATGAATAAAGGTAATTCCTACTCTTGTGGTCTTTGTGCCTGTGGTGAGTGTTATTTGCCTATTTATTCCATTCTCACAACAGCCTCATGAGGAAGGTGGTGGTGTTTCCATTTTATAGATGAGAAAATCAGACTCTGGGAAGTTAAAGACATAGCTAGTATGGCAGAGTTAGAATGCCAGCTTGCCCATCTGTCTCCAAAGTACACACACACACACACACACTCACATACTCTTCCTGCAACAACTTGCTGATATAAAAGCTGTAGAAGTGCTATGTGTTTTTTCTTGATCTCTAGGTCCATACCAACCAAAGTGGATCTCAGGAGTGGCCTAGAAGAATGTGCAGTGGCATTGAATTTATTTTTAAGTAACAAGTTTACTGATGCCTTAGAATTGCTTCAACCATGGTAATTAACTTTATTTATTTTAGATAAAATATATTTTTTCACATGTTTCTGATGATTCTGTCTTTGATGTCATGCATGCCAGTTAATTTAGGTGCATTTCCACTTGATTATGTCTAAGCTAATTTGGTTGAGATCTCTTACTGTTGATCAGTTTTAATATCCGGTTAAGAAATCTCTTCAAATTTAAATTTAATTAGTAGAAAGTTTCTGATTTTTTCTCAAATTTTAATTTCTATATGTATTTAAATATTGTCATCTTATATAGTTTTATAGAGCTTCAGTTTGCTTTCTTTAGTGAAATAATTTTATGGATATTCCTCTTAAGCTTAAATATCATTGGAAAAACATTCTCTTTGACATAGGGATGGAAAAGAGTAGACTATGCCAATCTCACATGCTAAAAAGAAATTTAAGTTAATGAAAATATTACTGGGACTCCTATTTATGTGATAAACAAGTCAAGCAATTTAATTTCAGTGAAATTTCAATTAGTGCCTGTGAAGTTTTCAAATGTGGCAGCAAAACCCGTGGCCAGCCTTTCTCCTACCTTGGTATTCAGCTCTTCAGTGCAGCTGTAGCTGGACAGGAATCACCCGACATTGTGCCTTGAGACTTAGGCACTTGCATAGATGAAGCACAGACCTCACAATTTTCTAGAAGGCTACTTGGGCACAGAAGTGAGAATCTCATTCCTTTGGGTGATCAATAGAGTAAGGTGAATCTGGTCATTGACTTTGAATCTTAGAAACTAAATTACCTCCTGAGAAGTTGCCCTACTTACTTTATTAGAAATTAGAAGAGTTGTTACATTGTTTTAGAATTTTGATCACTTGGCATTTCAGGGGTTTGGAACAGATGATAAAATAGATGGTGAAGGCTGTAGCCTAAGGAAATTGTTCAGTGTTGTCCCCAACACTTGTGGTACCTCTAATAGATGATTAACTTTTACCTGCTCTTATTTCTTTGGGAATTTTTTTTTTGACCCTCCAGTGACCTCAGTGTTCAGGACAAACTGCAAATTACCTAAGGGTGTTTAGACTTCCACAGGGGAAAAGAATAATATGGCTTGCATTTGTTTTGCATTAGCAGCAGGCTGTTAGGCATTATATTTGAATTAAAAACAAAACTGTGCATTAATATTTTAAACCTTATAAATAACTAATTAACAGAACTTGAGAAGTTTTCAGAAAAAAGATGATAAGGTTTTCACAGCCTGAGAGTCTGGGATATGCTATACATTAGGACTACTTAATATCTTCAAGAACAGAAGCAATTCTCACTGGTAACTTGATAACAGGAATTATCAAAAACTTTAATTAGGATTCTCAGATAATTAGTTAGGATTCTCTAATTGGGATTGGATTAGATACCATGTCTAAAAGTTACCTTTGTCTGGGTTCTTTGTGGTTGACCTAGCTTATTACAAAAATCTTGCTTCCTCTTGGCATCTGGCTGGGAAAGGAGAGGGGATAATTTTAAATGAGCCTTTATCTTTCAAAAGAGATATCAGAATCTCTGCCACAAAATACATATCAGGTGCTCTTGATTTCAGTGTATATTTCAGAGCTAAAGACAGTACACTGTCAATTGTTCAACTGAGGAAAATTGGTTTGCTTTAAAACGTTTTCTAGGAAATGAATCTACAGGCTGCCCCCTTGTGCTGAAACAGGGGAAAACATATAGTAGGCTTCCTACTCCAACCTGGAACATTCTGTGCTACCTGTGTAGGCTTAAATTGGAAAGTCCTTGATACTTGAGTTCTTTAGGACGTATATTTTACAGTCCATATTATTTCAGTGATTACGGTGAAGGAGTAAATGTTTTCACTGTGAAAGTCATAGCATGCACTAGGATTTCTTGTGATTAGTATCCGATAAGAGCTGACCGTTTTTTGAGTTGAATTGGAATGTACTAATTCCCTGTGTTGTCCCCAGGGCTAAGGAGAGTATGTACCATGCCTTAGGCTACAGTACCATTGTGGTGTTGCAAGCTGTCATGACCTTCGAGCAACAGGACATCCAAAATGGCATTTCTGCCATGAAAGACGCATTACAAACATGCCAAAAGTATGAACTGGATAATTACATACCTGATATATGACCACAAACCTTTATGGCTGTGTGACACAGTGAGTGCAGTGCCCACTGAGAGCTCTGTCTGAAGTTGGCCACGGTTGTAGAAGGACACTGTGCTTTGAAGCTTCTTGTAGTTTGATGTGATAGAGTTTGAAATTTCCTGTTAGGAATCATATAGGATGATTCTTGTTTGGCCAAATACTCAGCATCTATATCTCCACTTTTCTTTTTGGTAACTTGAGCTACAGAGAATGACTGAGGGAGATTTCAGTGGGGTTAGCAGCCAGTACCTCTCAAGGGTCTCCCTATGGTGGATGAGGTTAGGTACTGCCTGCCAAGCCAAGCCATTCGGTAAGGAGTGGTTCACATTTGTCCAAAAAGACATATATTTGAACACTTGTGATTGGTGAAAATGAGGTAGATTTCCAGTTATATTTTAGTTTTTGTTCTTTGTGTGTAGGAAGACCCCAGCAAAAACTGTTAACTAATATTGGTCAATTTTAATATTGATGAAATTATATCTTTATGTAATTATGTTTGCAAGCCTTGCAAATGAAGAGAACATCTAAATATTGCTCTCAAAGTCCATTCTTAACCTTGACAGAAGTATTGATTTCAGCCACAGAGATCAGGGTATGTGCTTGGCAGGACTAGTAATTGTTTTGTGTGGGTTTATCCACGCACGTGTTTGGTCAGCATGAATTGAGTGCCCCTGGGATGCCAGCCGAGTGCTGGGAGCTAGGTGGGCAATGATGAAAAGGGTAGTCTCTGCCCTCCAGACTTTAGCATTTAGAGTTCCTCCTTTATGATTCTCTGGTGTGACTGTGAATGAATGTCAAATGAAAATGAACTTGGCCTGATTTATTGTTACTTGTTTAATTTCCCGCCCTCTCTTCTACTTATTCTCTGCAGATACAGGAAAAAATCCACAGTTGTAGACTCTTTCTCAAGTTTTCTTTCTAGAGGGTCTTTGGAACAGCTGACTGAAGGTAAGAGTCATTTAAAATAATTAATTTTTTTCCTTTCATTGAAAATAAAAATGTGATTACACTCATAAAATTCACTACATAAGTGTATAACATAGAATAAATGGAATGTCTTTTTCTCTTCCCTATCATAGTCACTCTCAAGATGTAATCACTGTTAATAGTTGGTTAAATAGCCCAAGATTACCTGCCTAGCAGAGCAGAGTTCAAACCCAATCTTCCCTTTCCTAAGTCTCAGCAATTTCTGTATACCCCCTTTCTCCTCTAGGCAGGTAGATAAGGGCACAATATGTTTACATATGGATGAGGGAAATGTTAAATTATTTGAATTATTGCTATGTTAGACATCTTGAAAATAGATGGTACTGTGTTCTTATCTTTTTATAAAGTCTTTGGACATGGCTCTTTAGAAAGTTTAGAATATGATAAAAATAATATTTTTTTACCAATTATTAAAAAATAAAGCCAACAGTGAGATAACACTACATACCTATTAGAATGTTCAAGATCTGAAACACTGATTATACCAAATGTTGGCAACAATATAGAGCAACAAGAACTCTTATTTGTGCCTGGTGGGAATGTAAAACTGTATTGCAACTGTAATACAAAAATCAAATGTAAAAAGATAGTTTGGCAATTTCTTACAAAACTTAAACCTTTGCTGTATAATCCAGAAATCGCTCTCCTTAATATTTACCTGAAGAGCTGAAAACTTTATGTACACACAAAACCCCACAAATGTCTGTTTATAGAAGCTTTATTCATAATTGCCAAAATTTTTAAGCAACTAAGATATCCCTTAATAGGTGAATGGATAAACTATGGTATATCCAGACAATGGAATACTATTTAGCACTAAAAAGACACATGATACCAGTCCATAAAAAGACATAGAAGAGTCTTAAAAGCATCATTACTAAGTGAAAGAAGCCATCTTGAAAAGGCTATGTACTGTATGAATCCTTTGGGTGCCTTTGGAAAAGGCAAAACTCTGTGGAGACAGTAAAAAGATCTGTGGTTGCCTGGAGATGGGATGTAGGGATGAATAGGTGGAGGATTTTTAGGGCAGTGAAAATACTCTGTATGATGACACAGTGATGAAAACAGATGGCCATACACGTGTCCAAACCCATGCAATATACACCACCAAGAGTGAATCCTAATGTAAACTGTGGACTTTGGGTATTTATGGTGTGTCAGTGGTGGTTCATCAGTTATAATAAATGTACTGCTCTGGTGGGGCATGTCAATAATGGTAGTGGTTATACATGTGGGGGGGGGAGGGATATATGGAAATCTCTGTACTTTTCCTTTAAGTTTGCTGTGAGCCTAAAAGTCCTCCAAAATAATAACCGTAATTTAAAAATAAATTAGCTTGTGACTGTAGCCTATTCTGAAATACAGGTTTATTTAGGCTTTTGTATCTAAAGGCATGCTTAGCTAACATTTCAGTGCATAATGAAGACATTTCCCTTAGTGGACCAAGGAATTTATAATTAAAAGATGTTCTGATAATTATTTCCTCATAAATGCCAAATGGCTAATTTTGAAAGCTAAGAAACTGCCCAATATAAATCAACCAGAGCAAAGAAATAAGGCTTACATAAATTAAGTTGTGTTTTATTCCTAATGAGTCTGGTTGTCACCACAACCCAAACAGACTTTGTGTTCAGGGTAGCATGTCAAAACATTATAGCTTTAGTGTGTGATTTGTTTTTCCTCTTGGTAATTTTCATTTACATCCTCGAGTCGCTGTTTGTCTGCAAGAGTGAGTATATTTAATTAAACTTTTCATGGGTTTAACTTAGAACACACCCAACTTCTCTTGTGGCTGGCATATAGCCCCGAAGGGCTTTCAAATTGCCTTTAAAAACATATTTATATGTAGAGTTTAGGGTGAGAAAGAAATTTAATATGAAAAATACTTACATATGGAAATTCATATATAAATCAAGTATAAAAATTAAACAAATATTCATATTTGACCTGATTGTTTATAATTCATAATGCGTGATCAAAACCGAAAGTTTCTGTGATGACTGCCCTTGTACTGTTCACCATGTAAGAACTTATTCACTATGTAAGAACTTGTTCACCATGTAAGAACTTGTTCGTTATGCTTCAGAAGATTGGAGACTGTTGAGAATTAGGCTTGGGGTTGATTAATGACTGTGCATTGAGTCCCCTATACAGAATTTTATTGTTGTTAACAACCATATGATCAATAAATATGAGAGATGCCCTCTCAAAAAAAAAACAACTTACATATGGTATCTAGAGTTCAAACTTTCTTGCCTCTGATCTCTGCCTTCTTGTTGCATCCTTTAGGTGCTCTTAAATTTGTCCATCTTTAATTTAACCCTAATCTGTCTACCCTTTCTGTTGCCTGTTGAATTTAAGCCCAGACTCTGACTTTCAATGTCGTCCATGATTTAGCCCTGACTTACCTTTCAAGACTCATTGCCCATGACTCCCTTTACAAATCCTGTGCTTCAGCCCAAGGAGCCCTCTGGCCTTGTCCCGCAGGTGCCCTGTGCTTCTCTGGCTCCGAGCCTCTGCTCGTGCTGGTTCTCTCCAGTGCCATCCCCCTTGGCACAGGCCCTGAGTCAGCAACCTGTGTTACTGTGCTGGCTTTCAAAGTGAATAATTCCAAGCAACTCCCATCTTCTTAGAAATGTACTTAGAAAAAGGATATTCAAATGACACTATAAAAGTAGAAGTTACCAGTTTTTATTTCACTGAACACAGAAAATCCAGAGGCACACTTTGAGGTGAGGTATACCAAAGGACTGAGAAGCCCTGGTGTTGATGCTTTCAGGATGTGGACAGGCCAGAATGCCTCAAGTTTGGCCCCATCTGTATGCATGCTGTTGGCGGACCTGAGCTGCATAGTGCAGTTGCTTTTGTAAATTCAAGCTTGGAATATAAGCATGACCAGAAGTTGAATCAGTTTGTGAGAATGGTCAGTTGTGTGTGTGTGTGTGTGTGTGTGTGAATGAGATGGGGGTGTGTTTCTGTGTGTAAGTGAAAGAAAGCAAGCACTAGGTCTTAACCAGTTTGAATCAACAGTATTCTCACTATCACAGAACACTTTTTCAGTTACTTCACATAAAAGTGTTCTTCTTTCTGAACTTTTATGAAAAGACGCAGTATGGGTGCAGGGTAGTAATCTTAGTGAAAGCAGCTAACATGTATTGAGTGCTTATCACTCTGAATAGTGAGCTCTACTTGAAGCACCTCTTTTGATCCTTCAGCCAGAAGTAGAAACATTGCTAGCTGGACTTCATGGTGACAAAACCAGCAGAGAGAGGAAGGGCTGCTTGCTTGACCTGCTACAGCTAGTACGGCAGAATCTTTCCTCCTGCCCGGGCCCTGAAATACCCCAAGCTCATTAACTTACATGAAGTATCAACTTGCATCCCATAGATAAAGCAGGAATCTGCTGGTTTTGTTTGTGCAAAAATGCAAAGGTCCTCTACCCCTACTCTGACCAATCCCTGAAAACATCATGGATTGTTTAGGAAGACAGGCCATGTGTTTGGGGACACTCCACATGCCCCTGGGATATATGCAGCCCACTTTGTGAGTGACATGGTCCTGTGCTAGATTATCTCAATAATCAAAATAGCCAAAAATGGGCAAGTGCTTTTAACATCATCTTCTGTGTGTGACGAGTCATGACTTGGACACGAAGGGCAGCTCTTTTTCACAGAATTCTAGAGAGTTGCTGTTTTCTCTTAAAGATGTGTCTGATTATTGCCATGATTACCATACCTTCATATTAGAGAAGCTAGAATTCATAAATTCAAGACAGTGTTTTGAATCTTTATAACTGTGTTAAACTTGCATGCTACCATTCAGGAAAATACGTGGTTTCCTTTTTTAAAATTTTGTTTTCCTCTTGTGAGCTGACTCTGGGGCCCTGATACTTTGCAGTTAATTTGAATGGGGCCAAAGATGACTTCCCTGAACCATTTCACACATTCTGGGAAAATCTTGCTAAGGCACTGAGAACTGAGGTCATCATTGCATTTTTATGGAAGCACCAAAGCAATTCTAGGTTTTTATGTCTCTCTTGGGCTCATTTATCTACGAGTCTTTTCTGAACATCTCAGAGCAATTACCATGGACATGGGATTTTCCTTAATGTAATTTTATTTGTTTTTAATAGAGGAAATGCATGCCGAAATCTGTTATGCCGAGTGTCTCCTACAGAAAGCAGCACTCACGTTTGTGCAGGTAATGAACGTTCGGCTTCAGATCAGTATTGCGGGGAAGCCTGACAGCACTCGTAGAGGAAGCATGGTGCATTCTATGTCTGTGCTTCAGTTCTTTTGTCTTGGAGTCATGATGAAAGGTATTTGTTATTCTGATAGACTTTGGCTGGAAAAGACCTCAGTGAGCTTTTTCCTACTCAAATGCACTAAGAGGCTGTTTTGAATCTCAGTCAGCTGGGAACCACTGCCTTTTAAAGAAACTGTCTTAGAACGGCCACACCTAATTTCAGGATGCTTCTCTGTGTGAGACCTGTGAGATTATCCCTCTTTGCACTTGCTCATGGTGGAGGGCGGTGGGTGGTGGAAGGAGGTTTCTTCATCCTTAGCTATTCCCTTCTTACACCAGATGCTTCTGCAAAGCTCAGGAGTGCATGCATTGAGAACCAACTTTTCATGTATACTGCAGATTTTATTTTTCCCCTCTTTCTATCCTCATTTCCCCCTTTTGCTTTAATTTCTTCTTTTTGAAGAGCAGTTTTAAAAGTCACTCAACCGAACAATGAATCCTTTTCTAATGGGACATTTCAAGTTCACCTCTAAGAAGTGTTATAGTCAATACTTGCTTAGCATTGCGTCTTCCGGTGCTTCCAAAGAATGTGGATTTTTGACATCATGGCCACATGGCAGTGATGGAGTGGAAGTGGAGTACAGCTTGTTAGGGGGTAGAAATTAAACTGTAAAGTGGGAAACCTTTCTTAATCTCAGTGTTTTGTGTACGGAGAGGTGCTTCTTTCTTTTTCTGGAGGTTTATGTCTTAGATTGGATTCTGGTTTAGTAAAATTGAATCAGTCTGGTCCATGATCCTGTTTCCTAAAACCCAACCATGAAGGCTGGTTGAAAACAACACTCTTACTGCCTCAGTAAACATAAGGCTGTCCTGGAGGCCCCCCATTTTTTCTGGTGGGTTTCCCAAATAGGGATTTGACAATGAAATCTGGGATTCGAAGTCTTATTTATTATTTGGGGACTTGTAATGACGTATCTGAAAGCTCTCCATGACTCTTCCCCACTCCTCATTGCTCAGTATCCAACCAGTGTCATGGTTGGGCTGCTTTTCCCTTTGCAGATTTGGCAGCCCCATCTCATCCTCTTTCTGACCGATTGTTCTAGTGGAAGTGTTGTTCAGCAGCTCTTCCCTTGACTGCATAGCAACCTAGCAACCCACTGACTCTAATTTCCCTTACCTCCAGCTCATTTTCCGCTGTGTAGTTAAGCACCCTCTCAGAGGTGAGCCTCTCATCTTTTTTCTCTGCTTCAGCATTTAGTAGCGCTCACTGACTCTGGTAGTGGTTCTGTATCAGAATTCAGAAATGGGGGAGACTTTTGCAAACTGAACTGGCATCTCCCCCAGATTTCCTACTCCTCCTTACCCATGATCTCAGATGCTACTGGCAGGTATGTAGCATACTTGTGTGGCTCCAGTAGAGGTAGCTTTCTTATCCTGAGCCATTCCCTTTGCAGTAGATTCAGCAGCAGTCCTGAGTTACACAAGCACAGATGGCCAAGCACACCATATGATCTTTAATGCTTCCTTGCCTTTCCACCTGAGTTTTCCTTTGCTTGCAAAGTTCACATCTGTTTTGCTGTCCTTCTCCTTTCCCCTTCCCAATCATTTTTTTGTGCCTTAAGCACTGATGCTTTCAGGAGCCTTTTGTGCACTTTTCCCTGTCCCCCTCCCCTACTCTGTGTTCTCACTTCATTCCATGCATGTTTCCATCCACATGCATGCCTCCATTCTCAACACGTTATTTTGCTTTGGTCTGATTTTGCATTCAGGTGCCTGGCATAAAATAGTTGTTATTCAATTAATGTTTGGTGAATCATGTGAAATATTCTTGTTTGAGGCAGATTTTGATTTGATTTAAGAAAATCTTCCCTGCCCAGTTTTGGGACTTGTGTAATCATATGACTCCTTAAAATAAGAAGGTAAACATTTAAGTTGTGTAGTGAATTTAATGTTTTTATTTATTGGTTCTTAAAATAATTTAAATGTTAAAGATTTAATTAATTGTTAAATAAGTAAACTAAAATCAGTTTTTATTTTGCTTCAGGAAGATGTTCAAGTGAACAGGAAATAAATATCAGGGCATCTTTCTGATATCAATAAACTAGAAAAACATTCTCCTTGGAAATGTGAAACCTGGACTGACTCCAGTAGCAGCATCTATCAGAGTAACTTCTTTCAAGTAGTTATTTGATAAAATTTATTACGAGATTCTCTTGGAATCCTTGAATCCTGATCCTGAGAATAGCATTCATTTAGATCAGCTGTCTCAATTTTATTTGATGACCGTCACACAAAGAAAAGTGATGTGATCTTTTTTTTTGCAAAACAAAATTTCATATTAGTGGCAACCAGTTGAGAATTCAGATCAGTTACTTTTGGTCTAGCTAAGTATATGAATGAAATCCACAGTGTCAAATAGACTCTGCATGCTAAAAAAGTACCCTGCAAAAGAAGAAGCATAATTCCATTTAATGGAGTATGATGGCCATGCTCTAAGCTTGGCTTTAGAGCATATCCTTAAATCAACCATGTTGGGTTTTATTGAACCCAGAAGAAAGTGGTTCAGTAGATGATGATGTGTATTAAAGCAGATTTGGACTAACTCATATGGCCCCTAATTGGTGAGGATTACTTCCTTAATTACTTTCTTAAAGTAATGCAAGGCTTTTTAACATGGCTTCTTCTTGTTGCCTTCTAACTTGGAAGAAAAATTACAGAGAAGTGTTTCAAATGTAAAGCAAGAAGAATGTTTCAATTTAGAAACTATGTCCCCCAAAGATAGCTTTGTTCTAATCATATAAATACACTGCTGTGGGGACAGTTTTAAGAATATTTTTGCTAAATGATCTAATTATTTAATTGAATTGTTTTCAGGATGAAAATATGATCAACTTCATCAAAGGTGGACTCAAAATTAGAACAAGTTACCAAATATATAAGTAAGTTAAAATTTAAACTGTGTTTTTTAAATGATTCTTATACTATGTTTCCTTTGTACTCAAAATTCTCAAGGACTAATTTTTTTTAATTTAGTGTTGGTAAAAATGCACTTGATTTTTGGTTTACTGAGTATGTTCTATGTTATAGGACCACAGAATTTAAGTTTAAATGGAATTTTGAGAAAAACAGTTGAAAAGAAAGCTAATGACATATTCTTAGGTTAGATAATCTTAGATTCCCTCTCCTAACAATTCATGTATTTAAAACGACATATATGCTTTCGGTCTGGATTCTAGGACAGCACTGCCTAGTAGAATTTTCTGCACTGATTCAAATGTTCAATTAAGGTAGACCATAGTGTTGTTCATATCATCTATATCCTTGCTAATTTTTATCTAGATGTTCTATCATTTACACATAGTATTAAAAATCTCCAAAATTTATTCTGGAGTCATCCATTTCACCCTTTAATTTAGTCAGTGTTTGCTTTGATTATTTAGAACCTCTGTTATTAGACATATATGTGTCTTTAATGGTTTTATCTTCCTAATGTATTAACCTTCTTATCATTATGAAATGTCCCTACTAATAAGTATTGTGTCTCCCCTTTATATCTCCTCCTTATAATATTCCTTGTCTTGAAATCTGTTTTGTCTGATACTAATATAGCTACTCGTGCTTTTTTATAACTAATGTTTGCAAAGCACATATTCCTTTACTTTAAACCTATCTTTGTTTTTATATTTAAATTGCATTTCTTATAGATGTGCATAGTTGGATCTTACTTTTTCATTCTGTATGACAATTGACATGTTCTCATTTTTGACTACCATTCTGCTTTTTCTTTTGCCTCATTTATTTTCTCCCCTTTGTTTTATGACATTTTTTGCATTAACAAACTTAAAATTATAGATTCCAGTGTAATCTCTCTATTGTTTTCTTAGCTATAGTCTTGTTTAATTTTTTTTAATGGTTGCTCTAGTGATTATAATATCCTTCTAAACTTATCTTAGTCAACTTGAATTTAATATTATACTATTTACATAAATTATGAGAACTTCACAAAACTATAGTTTCATTTACTACCTGTCACCTTTTATACTATTCTTACAATAGTACACTTGCATATATTATAAACTCCACAATGCCATGTCAGACTTTTCCTTTAAACAGTCGTGTGCTATAGTCTCCTCTATTTACCGATATATTTACCATTTTTAGTGTTCCTCATTCATTCCTGTATACTTTCAGATTGAAGAATTTATTTTAGGATTTCTTGCAGTGTGTGTGTGTTTTCACAGTTTTTCCCTGTTTTCATTTATCTGAAATGTCTTCTTTTTTGCCTTCATTTCTGAAGGCTGTTTTTGCTCAGTATAATATTCTGAGTTACATGGTTTTCTGTCTTCTTTCCTCCATTTAAAATTGTCAGTCCATTGTATATGACCGGTGTTGTTTCTGATTTTTGTTATTTGTTACCCTCTCTGTACTGTGTCATTTATTCTGGCTACTTTGAAGACTCTTCTGTGTTTTTGGTTTGATTTGGATGTGTTGAAGTGTGGCTTTGAGAAATCTGTGGCCATTATTTCTTCTTTTTTTTTTTTTTTGCTCCAGTGTACTCTGTCCTCTCTCTCCTGATCAGATTCCAATTACACATGTTAGTCAACCTGATTTTGTTAAAACAGGCCATGGAGGTGCTGTTCATTAAAAAAATGGATTATTTTTTTCAGATTAGCTATCTGAACCATGGTAGATATTCCCTGGTTTTATTTCCTGCTTTTTCTCTTGACTGTTTGTCATATTTTTCTGTTTCTTTTCTTGTCAATAATTTTTAAATTGCACACTAGATATTGACTCATTGTAGAGATTGATTCCGTATTCTTTTATCTTCATGGAAGGTGCTGATTTTGTTCAAGGAAGTATTAACTTGACTAGAGTTAAACTCTATAAACTCTTACTCTCTACTACTGGGCAACATCTGGTCTTTGCTCCTTTATTTCTTCTGTCTTGTTTCTGCTTTTTCTTTGGAGCCCCCCCCAGTGCTCATATAGTTCATGGGTCAGACAAGAATTTGAGTGGCGTTTTAACACAGATTTTGGTCTTTCCTTCGTATGTGGTTCCCTCCTATCTGAAAATTTCCCCATTACTCTACAGCCACTCTTTGAGTTTTGAACTCTGTATAAGCTCCACACATTCTACTGATTGGCCTGGGGAATACTTTCAGGTTGCTAGCCATATAAATGTAAAGTCCATTCAAGAATTATTCATTTTTGAAGTTTAGTATCAACGTTTGGTCCTTCTCCAGTTTCTGCCTACTTTTTTTTTTTTCACTTTCCGGTCCCTGAAAATATGTTTTAAATAAATATTTCATGTTTATCTAGAGTTTATAATTGTTATCTGTGGAGGGTTAATCTAATATAAGCTACCACTGCCCTAGAAACAGATCCCCATTAGTGGAAGCATAACCAAGATTTAGTATCTTAAGAGATACGTTTACTCAAAATGATTTTATAAAATTATATTCCATTCAAAATCCTGAAAGGAGGTAGATGGTTTAGGAACCTGACATAATTATTTTTAGTTTTCCTTTCAAAATATTTTTTAAAAATATGTTAAAGAGTTGATTGCTTTTCTACTCATCAAAATTTAAAAAAACAGAGGGTATTAAAATAGCCTTATAATGGTACAGACATATATATCAGTGGAATGGAACATAGGGTTTTGAAACAGACTGTGCATGTCTGTGTGTGTAAGTATACTCAGGTATATGTGCATATGTGTACTTGTACATACATACATGCAGATAGTTATCTGGGAATTCAGAGTATACTAAATTCCTATATATACATAGGGCTCTTTCAAAACAGTGGGGAAGGTGGGTACTTTAATAAATGTTCTGAAAACTGGTTCTTCATTTTGGGAAAAAAGTGCTATACAAAAATCAGTTCCATGTAGGTTTCATATAAAATATTTTTTAAAAAGTACCAGCAAAAACATATGTAAGTAATTTTTCTAGTCCTAAAGTACAAAGGCATTTAAACTTTTATTTTACTTTTACTTTTCCCCTTTGAAATAATTTCAGAATTTTTACAAAGAATTTTCATATATTTTTCACTCTGATTCACAAATGTTAACATCTTATAGAACCACAGTGCAATTATTAGAATCACAAAACTAACATTGATACATTATTAAATACAATACTGACTACTCAAATTCCTGGAACTCTCTGACTAATGTCATTTTTCTGGTCCAGGATCCTGGATTTTACATTTGGTTTTATGTCTCCTTAGTGTCTTTAATCTGATAGTGTCCCTCAGTTTCTCTTTGTCCTTCATGACCTTGACATTTTTTAAGAATACTGAGCAGTTATTTTATAGGACACATCTCAGTGTGGACTTCCTTAATCTTTCTTCATGACTAAATTCAGGTTTTGCATATATGTGGTAAGAGTACCACAGAGGTGATGTTGTGTCCTTCTTAGTGCATCATATCATTTGGTATACATGATGCTAATCTCAGAAGCTTTCTAAAGCATGACATAAAATCAAGAACCATAAAAGACTGACTTGACCAAATAAACATTTAAATTTTCATCATGGCAAAATACACCATAATAAAATATATGAATAGAAATGTGATGCAAATGACAATGTGAAAAACTCCTAAATTGGTGGGAATCTAAACTGAAGAGTTTTTTTGGAGGATATTCTGGCAGTATATATCAAAATGGAGAATGTGCCTTGCCTTTGAGCTCAGAAGTTGTTTTTCTAGGAATTTATACTGGGGACAGTTAGGATAGATTAACTATAGTTATACTACTTGATGTATGAAAAGTACTTGATGAATGTATAAGAACACTCTTAGCAGGATTGTTTCTAATATGGAAAATTTGGAAATGTCAATATTTAATGATAGGATTTTGTTTAAATGAATTATTCCATAGAATGGAATAATATGCATTTGTTAAAGAATGAGGTAGCTTTCATGATTTTCATGGGAAATTATCAAAATAACCTATAGAATAGTATGTGCTTTATGATCCCATTTGTGTTTTTTAAAGATTATATTCTTAGTAAAGCATAAAAACACCTAGAAGGCTATGTATCAGGCTATTTACAGTGACTATCCCTCTGCAAGGTGGTCTTGAAAGGGCACTTATACTTTATCCATATTATTTGGAAATTTTGTAACACACCGATAATCAGAAAAAAGAACATATTTATATTTTGATTTGAAAAAGAATCTAAACATCATATCCACCTCTTGCCATCCTGTTGCTATTTTGACATTTGAGTTTTTAACTCATATATGTAAGCACATACAATTATCTTTTTATATAATGAAATTATGTGCTTCATTTCATATTGAATTTTTTTTTATTTCATGTCAGAAAATTTTAGGTCGTTAAATATTTTTAATTCATTATAATTTTAATGGTTGCATCGTATTCCATGATGTGGATGTACCACATGTATGTATAGAGGTATGCACTCATGTGACTCTCTTAACTAATTTCCTGTTGTTGTCTATTTAGTTTGTTTATATATTTTCATTATAAATAGCAGTACAGCATCTTTCCTTATAGGTAAAGTTTTGTGTTTATCCATCTGAAGAATAATTGGGTTGGCAAACTTTTTCTTAAAGGGCCAGGTAGTAAATATTTTAGGCTTATGGGTCATGGCCATAAGATTGCTGTCACAATTATTCAACTCTATGACATAGTATATAAGCAGCCACAGACAATAAGTAAATGAATGTCTATGGCTATGTTCTAGTAGTTTGCCACTGTTTTACTATAACTATCATTTTACCAGAAGTATATGAATGTGTCTGCATTTGCCACACAAATGAAGTAATACTTTATTGTCACAAAAATGGCATATGTATTTTGGAAAATAAGAAAATGTAGATTAGCAATATTAACACACATACACACTCCATATTCTTATTAGTCAGTGATTATAGCTTTTAATACTTCAGTATATATTCTTTAAGAATATTTTCTATACATATCAAAAATATATGTATTTTTTAACCAAAATGACATCACACTGTACATACTTGTAACCTACTTTTTTCAGTTAATTATTTTTTCATATGAGTAAATATTAATTTCACATAATACTCAATCCATCATCAAATTTTCCCAGTTGGCCCCAAATTTATTTTACTGCTGGCATGTCTGCACCAGGATCCAACCCAAGACTATCTTCTGCATTTGATGTTTATATCCATTCAATATATTTAATTTTAGAACAGTCTCTATATTTATAACAGTTGTTGAAAAGCCAGTTGCCCTGCAAAATATCTCATGGATTTGTTGCTTCCTTGAGTTTCCATTTAGTTTGTACCTTGTCTTAGCTCAGGCTGTCAGAACAAATACCATAGACCGGGTGGCTTAAACAACAGAAGTTGATTTTGTCACAATTCTGGAGGTGGAAGTCCAAGATCAGGGTACCAGTATGGTCAGGTTCTGGTGAGAGCACTCCTCCTGGCTTGTAGACAACTGTCTTCTTTCTGTGTTCTCACATGGCTGAGGGAGAGAGCAAAGGGGGTGAGAGAGCGATACAGAGAGATATCTCCTTCTTCCTTTTCTTATAAGTCCACTGAGCTTATCAAATTAGGACTGCACTCTTGATTACCTCCTGAAATCCCTGTCTGTAAATACAGTCATATTGGAGCATGGAGCTTCAGCATATGAGTTTGAGGGCTGGTGGGGTGGGAAATAATTCAGTACATTGCATTCCTCTAGTCCATTATATTTCCTGTAAACTGGATGTTAGAGCTATAGACTTTGATAGATTCAAATTAAGTGTATTTGGGTAGAGTATATCATTAATGAAATTGCATGCTTTATAATTACATCATGCCAGGTGATACGTAACATGCGTCTAATTCTTATTACCTTTTAAAAACATTTTGTCAGTTTGATAAGCAGTTCCTGGTTTTTACCAATTTTTGTGTCTTTGTCATGGTTTTGATTTGCATTTCTCTGATTAAGTCTTTGCGTTTTGAAGATGGGGGAGGGGATTTATGTATAAAAAAGAGATTAAAGTGATAAATGGGAAAGATTTGCTTGGATGGACCCAGAAAAAATAAGAAGGCAAATAGGGCAGTTGTCGTATGATTTGCCTTCCTCTTTCAGTGTCTGCTGGTCCCACACAGTTATTTTGCGTAGTTGAGACCATGGCGAGCACCCTGAAATCTTCTTGCCAGTAGCATCTTAGCTACCTGCTGGAAAGCAGGGTTGCTGCCGTCTGCACAGTGGCCGAGGAGCTGGCACTCTCAGGGAGTCTGCTGGAAACATTGCTGGGAAGCTGTGAGATCGCAGTCCTGTGGCCCTGTGGCTCTGGAGTCACGCTTGCTAATGTTCAAACCCTCTCTTGTTTTATGCCCAGAAAGACTGGTACTGATAAGCAGTGTAGAAATGGGTGTGTCATTTTCCCTTCATGATTACTACTAAGTAGCCTGCTAAGTAAATGCAGCACAGCATCATCCAATTTAACAATTCTTCATTAATGTTGCATAGTGACATTTATAGTGTGTATGTGGCATTTGACTCAACCTCGATTTACAGAGTCACAGTAAATTTATGCTGTAACTTTTTTCTTCAACCCAGAGAATGTCTTTCTATCCTGCATGTAATTCAGAAGAGCAAAGGGGAACAAGAGTTTTTCTATGAGTTTGAAGGGGGTGTCAAGCTTGGAATAGGGGCCTTTAATTTGGTAAGTAAACAATTATAAAGCCTCCAGAACCTATTGTAAAAAAACCTAAGATTTTCAGTTTCTTCTCTACTGCCTTTGAGCCTCATACTGAACTTTGCCTGGGTTTGGTTGAAGAGTAGATAGAGAGGGATCAATTTTCTTGTGTCGTGACCTAGTAGGGACTTTCGCCTGTGGGTGTTATGCAGTTCTGCACATGTTCAGAGTAGCTTTGGTTTGTACAGTAAAGGAATCATGTAGCACTCTGAATAGACGAGTCACATTTTTGGCAATGAGGAGCTTGGAACCCAGTTCCATTTCCACTTCAGAAATACTGTTGGCATGGCAATGGTGGCTCTACAGTTGAAAATAGTTGAGGCAGCAGTGATACAATTTGAGGTACGGTTTTGATGCTTTGGAGGGAGATGAAGAGTTTACAGAGATAGTCATCAAATTGTGATATATTATTTAGAGATTTTGAAATTTGATCAAGATTTGGCTGGAATTGGTGAGAAAATTAAGTGGTAAAGGGCATCATACACATGAGCATGTACACGACTGTGCCCACTTTGTTCATGAGCCTGTTGGTCAGTGTTGGAGGTGCTGGGGAAAGAGGCTGACTGGTGTCTGCAGAATGAATCACCTTATCCACTTGGTTATCAAAATCCTCCTCTGCTGAGGTTACACTTTGATGAGCATGGCTTTGTTCACATGGGCCACAAATTATTTAAATGTTTTTTGCTAATTCAGAGAGGTTTATGCACATACCTCCTTCCCAGTGTGAAATTTGACTCAACATTAATTTGTCATTGATTTTCCATTCATGTTCCTTCCAAATGTGTGGCTGCCCAGCTAAACCAATGGCTCTAGCCCATGTGGGTCAATAAATAATTGCACATATGGCTATTTCGCCTTCCAAGCAAAGTGATCAGCCAGGTGCACTGCTTGCAGTCCTACACGAGAGGATTTCCCTTCATCACCACTCTTCAGGGATGTCCTAGATAGGGACTGTAGGCCTGCAGCTGTCCACTTTTGGGTAGTGCCTGCATATTGTGCAGAATACAACAGATGTTTGCTTTCTGGAAAAGGATGCTAAAAGAAACCTTGTTTGAAGGTGGGCACTGAGGGATTGCCTTCTCATCACTTTATCACTGCACAGAAAAGCCATCCTGAAAAGGCCAAGTTTTTGTTTTTGTTTTAGGTATATTCTGTTTGATTAAGTGAAAGTAATTCAAAAGTAATTGTTGTAATCTGTGCAGTATGTGATGATTGAGATGTGTAGTGGATTAAACTTGATTCTAATTTTTCATATTATTGAATTATTAAAACTTTAAGTTGTTTGGAGTTAAACATTGTATAGTTATATACACTAACAAATAATACAATCGTATTTTTATTTTATTTTTTACAGATGCTGTCCCTTTTACCAGCACGGATTATCAGATTGCTAGAATTTATAGGATTTTCTGGAAACAGGGTACACATTTCATCTCGTCTTAATTTTGACAGGGAAGATAAAACATTATTTATTGAATGTGAGGGCAATCCAACATGTCTTCATAACCAGCATGGCAATTATTGACAGTTTGTTTGAAGGACAATAAAGAAAGAGCTGCTGGTGCTTGATCATATTTTTCAGGGGTTAGAGAGTTTTTCTATTGAAAGTTAAAATTTTTTATCTTCGTTGCTTAAATTCTGGGATTAAAAATTATGTTTTACTAACATTGCTGCTTGCTGGATCTAGAGTACTCTTGTTTGGTTAAAATATCCTTCCTTAACATTTTAGCAACCCCAGAGTCTTTTGTAAAACCAGGAATTTAGGCTAGATTTCCATGTCTAACATTTTATAATTTGCACAGGTCAAGTATAGTTGCACTATTTGGGGTTTCCTTGTGTTTTTATAAGTTTCACTAGAAAACTAAGCAAGGAAATTTGTTTTCGATGAGTTTTATTCATTGTTTTTCTGTGTGATTATTTTTTGTAGTGTGTAACCTACATAAATCATAACATCAATATGCTATTACCAGGGTTGCCTTATTGAAAAAATTGTTTCTGTTAGTCATGAGTGTAGGTTTTGAGAAGTATGTGAGAACACATGTAAGAACCTGTAATTTTTCCCCCACAAATACTCTGTATTTTCCTGTTTCTGTGCTTCTGCTAGTCTCTCTTTTGGATGTCCCCCCAGCCACTGTCCCCTCAGATAATGTTTTGTTAAGAACCTTTCCATCCATCAGGTCTGAGATCAGTGTCCTCTGTTACACAAAACCTCGGCTTATCCTCTTTTTGTGAGGCTCAAGTATTCCTAGCTCTCAGGATCATTTACTTGTCTTTCTTACAGTACTCACCATATTCTAGTAAAATCACATGTTCATGTACTGTCTTCCTTATTTGATGGAAAGATCTTTGGAGACATAGAACTATATTTATTTATACCCACCATAATGCCTTGCACTTAGATTCTCTATGCTTTAATAGGTTTATATTTTAATCAGAGAAATACAGCATTTGTATGAAATGAGCACTGTCTTTTTCTCTCCTAAAATCATGATATAAAAGAATTTGTGAGATTATTTTATGCCATTTAAAATGTAAAGGTTGTTTCTAGTTAGTCATTACCACTATTCTAAGCTCTTGAAAAATAAACCCCACCTCCATGGAGTGTGGGGATATGTGAACTAGCATTTTAAAGGGTCAGATATGATTTTTCAGTCATCTTCTTCTCATTCTAAAATGCTTTTCATTCCTACAGGAGCTGGGTCTCCTGCAGTTACGAGAAGGCGCGTCAGGAAGAAGTATGAGGTCTCCACTGTGCTGCTTAACTATCCTAGCTTTTCATACTTACATCTCCCTGATACTTGGTAAGGACTAGGTTATATTTTACTTAATTGGAAGCTGGAAAATAGTGACAGTTCTCATAGTAACATTTAGCGGAGGGGATGAAGGGTCTCTTATTGAATATGTTTTATCCATTCTCAGCTAAAAAAATTCTATAAAGCTTTCTTAAAATGATCATTTTTAGCATATGTTCATATTATATATTTCTTTTTTAGTAGAACCTAATATTGTTGTTAAAAACAGCAATTCCAATTAGAAATATAATACAACCACCTCTGTGTTTTTAAGAACTAATCTGTCCTAGAGCTTTCCTAAATTAAAGTCATAGATGAGACTTGTCTTATTCTATTTCCCAAATGTAAAATGATGGATGAACAGTTTCTGTTTTTTTCTCTGCATAGATGTTTGCTATGTTTTAATGAAATTTGGACAATTAGTTATAAAAACCTACTGTGTTTCATGAAGACTGAGGCTTTTCCTGTTAAATTTCTAGGTACAGGAGAAGTGAATATTGTGGAAGCAGAGAGTCTTCTTGCACCCTTCCTCCAGCAGTTTCCAAATGTATGCTTAGAATTTCAAGTGCACATTTCAACCATAATCCGTCTGCTGGGTTTGACCATTGAACAGTCTTTTTCTTCCTTCCTCCCCAGGGCTCACTCATGTTGTTTTATCATGCCCGGATAGAGCTGCTGAAAGGGAATGTGGAAGAGGTAATTTATTTGGGGGGAGTCATTTGGGGCACTGTCTGTATGATGAAGTTGTGTCACACACTCATTCATTATTAGTAAATTCAGCTATACATTTACTAGATGAATTAAAGAAAAAAATATGTCATTAAAAAGCCACCATCAAATTTTGTATATGCATTCTATTACATATAGTAGAGTACTGAATAGAGTCTATATTTACACATAAAGTACATGAGGCAATCCAGGGTAGAATATACAAATACAGGTGGCAATCTAAGGAACTTTCAAAAACCTTTACTACTGTCAATTTCCATACTACACATTGACCTTGGAATCTAGCCTCTGCTCAAGATATAACTCTACTGTACTACATGTGGGCTCCTCATCAAAGGAAATTATTCACTGATTGCCTTGAAGAAGAAGAGTGAAGAGCCTTTCATGTAAATTTCTCACAAACAATTTTCTTCTCACAAATGGGGTCGAACATGTATTTCTCTTTGATTTTTTTTTTTCCACTTAAAATAAATCTTGGATTTCTTTCCAGGTCAGTATATCTAAATCTCCCTCATTTTTTTTGATGGCTGGGTTTCATTCCATGGGATGGATATACTATATATACTAAAACAGTCCACTTTTGATAGATATCTGGCTACTGTAAACAGTGCAGTCATAAACATCATTAATTGCCATTTCTATGCACTTATTTATATAAGTGGATTTCTATAACACATATTCTGATAATTAGGATTTCTATTCAAAGATGTTTGCATTCTGACTAATTCAGCCAAATTGCCTAACTTAAGGTTATTTTATTTAAATTCCTATAAAGCTTTGAGAATACTTGTTTCCAGTGCTCTTTGCCAACTCTGGATATTATCTGTTTTATTTTTGCCAATGTGATGGCTGAAAAATGATAATCTGATTTTTATATTTATATTTTCCACTTTATAAATTTCTTCATGTGTATATTTATCACTCGTATATTTTATTCTCTGATTTGCCTATTCATATCTTTGACAATTTTCCCATTGTCTTTTTCTTGAGGGCTTTCTAAAATTGTTTACAAATGTATCAAATTGTTATATAATGACAGTTAATCCTTTTTCCATTTATGTATGTGGTGATATCTTGTCCTCTGTGTATTGTCTCTAACTTTGTTTAAGGTATATTTTACTTTCTGGAAGTTTGACTTGTCAGTCTTTTCTTGAAGGACTTCTTCATTTTATATCTTACTTGGAACTTCCCTAATCCCACATTATGAAATTCCACAGACCCCTCACAAAGTTAAATAAAGAGGCAGAACTTAACTGCATCATTGTATGTAAGGAACATATTATCATATTGAGTGGTTTAATGAGTGATAATTCTGTACTTTTTGTACAAAGTGTTTTATGTATTTTTCCATTAGGTTATTATCTCCTTGTCTAATGTCTGGATGATCAGCTTTATGCAATTGACTTATAGGCACAAGAGATATTTCGAAAATGCATTTCAGTTCAAGAAGAATGGAAACAGTTTCACCATCTCTGTTACTGGGAGCTGATGTGGATTTATATATACCAACAAAACTGGATGGAGGCCTATTACTATTCAAATCTACTTTGCAAAGAGAGTAAATGGTCCAAGGTAAAGTGTCATCTGTTTGCTAATAAGTGTCCAGGATGATTTTCCTTTAGGACTGTTTAATAGACTTTCCAGTTCCCTGATGACAAGGCTATTCCTAGTCAAAATTAATTCTGGTGCATTTGTGAGAAGTTGAACAAAATGAGACAATGGTCTCTTGTTCATTCTGTGCACCTTCTCATCCATGAACACTATAGTTGTATAATAGGAAAATAGTCTAAATTAACTGAAAAGTATTATTCTCATTTGGAATGGGTAATATAAGACTTAATTTCCTTCTATTTCTTTGCTGCCTCTTAATTTGTCTGGAAGATTTGATATCATCCCTGATTTGCAAGGTAGAAATGTCATGTGCCTAAGGGAGTTCTGTAACTAGCTGCTTTTCTTCTTTCCCTCAAGGCAACGTATGTGTTCTTGAAAGCTGCAATTTTGAGTATGCTTCCAGAGGAAGATACAGTGGCAACTAAAGAGAATGTAATAACTTTATTCAGGTAAGCAAGGCATAGTCTCAATCACAAATTCCTGAATGGATAAAGGAGCACACAGATACATCTTCCTTCTTTTCCCCTTAATGCTCAACCAAGCTTCATCTTCATATTTCTTTAATTTCTACTTGTTGGATAGAGGAACCCTTAAAAAATATATTTAGTTAAAAGTGAAAATGTCTTCCTGTTAGCAGGATTTTGCAGATATGCCAAAGTGATTGGGAATCCTGAGAACACATTATTTTTTGTTTTGTTACTGGAACTTTGCTACTGCATTTTGAACAGAGGTGTCTAAAATGGTGTTGTTAGGTAGAGATATTAACTGTTGCTGTGTATCAAAGGTGGTCAGATAAACTTAAGAAGCGCACAGTATGATATATCCTTAGTCTTTATCCATATGACAAAAATTCCAAGAAGGTCTGCTGTGAATTTAATCTATTTAATTTTGTTAAGATCGGCATCCATCCATCCATCCATCTGTCCATCCATCCATCCATTTTTCAATCCATCTGTAACCTTCATTTTGAGCACCTACTGTATGAAGGGTACTGTGTCAGGGGAGGAATAAATAGGCATGGCTCCTGTCCTTGTGGAATTGATGATATTAGAGTGAAGCTTCTTATTGAAGACATCAATGAAATAATCATATAAATAAATGCACAGTTATAATACATGGCTCATTTTTCCCTCCTACTTTTCTCACCATTCCCTCTTAGTATCTTTGTAGGCTCATCTCATCTTATTTTTTCCAGCCATTACATGTTGATGCCTTTTATTTCAAAGGTCAGTCTGTAGAGCCTCAACATTAAGAAACCTCAGCTAAGCCACATTTAAATGTCTGGTCCAGGCCTTGTGGCTGAGCTTCAGACCCATGTATCCAGCTCCCAGTTGCCACCTTCCCTTGGATATGAGCATCTTCACTTCACCATGTTCGATCTTCTCTAGCAAACCTGGTATTCTCCCTGTCTCAGTGATTGAGATGACCACTTAGCCTTCCAGAACCCCAGGATATTTGGATCACCAACAGGACCTGCTGTCTCCCTGTTGCCCAGTGGGAGGAGAGGACTGTATAAGAGCACAGAGGGGATGTCAGATGTGGTCATGTCTGCAGGTGGAGCAGGAGCTGCTGAGGCAGCGGTGCGCCATCATGATGCAGCCTCAGACCCAGGGAACAGCCTGTGAGGGGCTCTGTTGCAGAAAAGAGCAGTGCGCATTTAAAAAACAAAAAGAAAGCTGATTTTTGACAGTCTATGATGCTATATATATATATATGTCAAAGAAAAAGAAAGGACAAAAATGGTTCAATTATGGAGTCCCACAGAACACAGTGCTCCATTTAAAAATAAAACAAAATGTGTTTTTAGTGACAGAGATCATTGGTAACCCTAGCAGGAGCTGATGAAGTAATGGAATAGAGGTGTAACTAGATTGGTGTTGCTGCAGAGTGAATAAGATAGAAAGAAATGAGAGACTTGAGCTTAAATACATGTGATGATGAAGGGGAGGGGGAGAAAGAGAGAGAAAGAGTACTGGTTGGAGGCAGATGCATGTCAAAAAATATGGGAGAGATCTGAGCGTTCTTAAAAACTGTGGGAATAATTCAGTTGAGGAAGATCTGAGCGTTTTTAAAAACTGTGGGAATAATTCAGTTGAGGAAGAGATGTTGCACATAAAGCGAGAAATGGCATAATTGATATTTGTGAGGTTCCAAGAAGGCAAGGAGAGATAGAATCCAAAACATTGATGGCAGGACTGGCTTATCTAGAAGGAAGCACAGGTCCCCTTCTGTGTCAGAAGAGAAGGAAGAATAGGTGCAGAGGTTGCAAGCTTCTGTGTGGTGTATGAAAGGAAGCCTTCCTACCTCATAGCTTCTGTTTTTCTGTATGAAGTAGGAGGCTGGTTCATCTGTCGAGAGTGAAAGAGAAGGGAGCAGGCTGCAGGTCTGAGGAGGGTGGAGAGTGTTTGCAAGGATTGCTGCAGTCAGACAATGACTGCCGTGAGGTCCTGAGGGAAACAAAGTCAGGGGAATGGCAGGCAGTGCCAGGGCCCCTTTGAGGTTGGTGCTGGTGAGTTTACAGTGATGCCAGTCTGCCCTCAGTGCAGGTGCAGGGAAGATGGGCAGTGAGCTTCCTCTAGGATTGGGTTCTTGCCAGAAGAGTACAGCAACTAGGCAGTGGACAAGGGAGTTTAGGACATAGACCAGACCATGCAGCAGTAAAGGACAGGGCAATCTCAGCGGGAATATGGAGGGACAGGGAGAAAGAAGGAGACTGCTGGGCAGTTGAAGGGCAGGGGGACTAAAAGTCTTACAAGAACAGCCAAGTTAGGAGGAGGAGAATGGTGTTCAGAGAGAGGTGTGCTTCACTTTGTGCTTTGAGGTAGAAAAGTTATAGGTAATGAAATGATCTAAGGTATGACTCTAGGGGTTGGGGACTGATAGAAAGGAGAAGACAACCACTGGAGATGAAGAAGTAAAGGAATGGAGAAGAACCACTACATTCTTGAAACATAATTGATGACAAATGGAATATGATATTCTGTAGCCATAATATGAGAAATAATATCAGATTTGTCAACAGATTTGAAGGGATGACCAGGATTATTTTTAAAAGTTCTCTTTAAAAATAGGACCACATATTATACTACCTGTAGAATCAACATTAATAGAAGCCATGGTCTGATAAATGCCACCTTTTATGGGTAAACTGCATCTTTTCATTTCACATGAACAAACAACTGGGGCAATGGAATGGAATGGAATATTAAGATACGTAAAATCTTCTAAATTTCCTTCTATTTCCTCCACTTCAGAATAATGTTCTGCATATCAAAACACTTTCTGTGAGATGCATAACCAATCTAATTTTCAGGAGAAAGTTGGAGGTCAGCTGTGTGATAGAGCAACTGTTTGTTGGGAAAATGAGAGTTCATTTTTGGGAATGTTTTCCCAAAAGGAATTCCCTGAATTCCTTCTCTGCAACCTGTTTGATGCATTTACAAGTTTATTTTCGATTTGAGAAAGTGCTCTAAAAACAAACATGTAGTCTCCCCACTCTACTCTCATTTTCATGTGCTTGTGAGTTTTGTAATTGGAATCTCTTAGACTTTTGGGAGGAAGTTTGTAAACATGGTGCATATCCTTAGATGATTATTTTCAAAATCACCTAAGCTTGGGAAACATTTTCTCAAATTACATATCAATTGCCAACTATCTTTTGAGCTACGTTATTTTATAGATCTGGAATTTTTTAGATATCTGGAATATTTTATAGATAGGAATAGGAAACATACCAGTTTAGCCCTCTTTCCTCTCTTTGAATATCTACAATGTAAGTAAATACTTTGCACTCTTTCTTGCTTACTCATGGAAACTGCCAATCTTGTATCTCCAATTCCTTGGCTGTGTTTGATAAGACATTAGCTAAGTTAGCTGAAAAGAAGTGTCAGTTGGTTCTCAGACCTGAGCTTGAGTCAGAATCACCAGGGGGACTCACTGAACTCCAGATTGCGGGGCCCAGCCCTAGAGCTGCTGGTTCAGTAGTTCTGGGGTGGAGCCTGAAAATGAGCATTTGGAACAGGTTGCCAGGTGATGCTCACTCTGCTGGTGGGGGAGCTGCACGTGGAAACCACAGATATAAATAATGTACGCATTCTGATGACCTCTCGCTGGGGCTGGGGCTCTCTGCAGACAGGTGGATGGCTTGAAGCAGAGAATTGCCGGAAAATCGATTCCTACTGAGAAGTTCGCCGTGAGGAAGTCTCGACGTTATTCCAGCTCGCTGCCTGTGCCAGTGAAGCTCATCCTGCCTGCCCTGGTATCTGCCTTTATTTTACTTACTGTCCCTGTTCTAGGAATGATTTGTGCATAACAGCACACCCAGCTTCTGTTGTGAAGTTTAGCTCAATTAAAAGCCATTGTAAGTGTGTTTGTAAGATGAACGTTTTTATTAATAATCAAATAATAATAAAATTACAGCTAATTTTCTTTGGCAGTTGGTATGTTCTAGGTGTTATGATGAAGGCCTTTAAAAAATATGTCATTTGGTTTTTATGGTAATCTCTCTTATAGTCCCATTTACAGAGAAGGAAATTCAGGCAGAGAGAGGTGAGTTGACTTAACTGAAGCTGATTGAATTATAATGCAAGCCACATGAGATTTTTACTTTTTCTAGTAGCCACATTAAAAATTAAAAGATAAAAAAGTAAAAGGACATAGGAAACTAATTTTAAGAATGTATTTTGTTTAACTCAGTATATGCAAAATGTTGTTTGGACAGATAATTGATAAAAACTTCTGATAGCTCACATTCTTGTATATTGTGCTAATTCTTTGAAATCTAGTGTGTATTTTACTCTTATCTCATCTCAGTTTGGATAGGCCACTTTTTCGGGGCTCAAGAGCCACAGTAGGCTGGCGGCTGCTGCATCTGCCAGTGTAGTGCTTGCGCTCACTTCCTTAATCATTATGCCAGTTAACCTAGACTTCATAAAAAGCATCATTTCAATTTTTTAGTGAAAACTTCTTTAAAAAGTACTGAATATATCAAGTTACTATAGCTCTTTGGGGGCTTCTGGTTAGTGTAGGAGGTAAGGTAGCATGGAAAGCCGTTCAGTGCCATCTGAGGCCGGCAGGTCTCCTTTGGGGTTTTCTGAATTTTTTTTTGTATGCCACAGTTTATTTGGTTATTCTGCCTTTCAGAGTTATTTAGTTGTTTCCAATTTTTACTATTACAAACATGCTATAATGATGTTTTTTATATTCCTCTTTTTTTGTACATGGGTATGTAATTCTCTGGGGAAGATTTCTAGAAATGGAACTCCTGGTTGAAGGGTATATGCATTTAATATTTTGACATTGCCAGATTGCCCTCCAAAAAGGCTTTACTGATTTAAATTTCTACCAACAGTGTTTTACTGTTCTGATTTGCATTTCTCAATTGGTGAGGTTCAGCACATCTCTTCATGTGTGTCTCCTGTGAATTGTTGTTCATATACTTCCTTAATTTTTCATTGGGTTGTTGATTATTTTATCATTGACTTAGGTGTGAAAGAGAATTGTAGCCCCTAACAGCCCTCAGATAAGAGGTAGCCTGAATCTAGAATGTAGGCCCAAGTGTTCCCTATATAGGATAAAAAATCTTGGAGAATACCACCCTCTCAGCTCAGGTTATTCTGTATTTGTAATGGAACAAGACAAATATATGACCACTCTAATATCTGAGCCCAGATAAAAATAACTGTGCAAATCATAAAAATGACCAAATTCCAGCTAATGATAGAGGCTGCTGCATTTTAAAATCTTAATTTAATTTAATTTGATTTAATTTTTTACCAATTACAGCTTTTAACTCCATCCCTTTTTCATTTCTATCAAGTGATTTGCACTGGGAAATTTTTTCTTACTGCGTCACAAAACTTCTCTGAGAATTTTCTAGAGCACCATAGTCCTTTCTCTGCCCTAGAACTAAGATGCTAGTGTGTACATCACTGTATCTATCCTGCTTTGATTATTAAAGATCTTAAGGCAGGTTAACTCGCTGTAATTCTTTCTCCAGGTCTAAGGGTGTAGAATTGGCTTGCATTTGTGAAACCGGGAATTTTACCAAACTTCTGTTTTGCATAAAACCTCAGATGTGAGCTTTCCTTCTTCTAATAAAATATTCCATTAATAAAAACAAAATTTAAAAAACTGTCAGTTAAAATAAGTACTCCATTAGTTACTGAATTAAGCTCTTATACTGTTAGCAATAAGAAACTGTTAGATGTAAAATAAAAGGTAGAGTGTCATGATATTAGTTTTCAGTGCCATAAAGTGAAGATGATGGCTTTGCTGCCACTATGTTTGAATGTATTTTCCTCATTTCCATTGTTTCCCTGAAAGAAGCTGATCAAACAATATCTTTATCATCTTTTTTTATTGTAGTATCATTGACATACAGTCTTATGAAGGTTTCACATGAACAACATTATGGTTTCAACATTCACCCCTATTATCAAGTCCTCACCCGCCTCACCACTGTAGTCGCAGTCTATCAGTGGAGTATATTTTTATCATCTCTTAACATGCATTAATTTCCAAAAGATACCAATTACCATATTTATTTCAGACCCTTCATATATGAACTATACTACTGGAACATTAGAAAAAATATTTTCAAGCAAAAGCACATTTGCTTTTGGTCCCCACCTCCCACAAAAAAAAACCCTCATCATTTAGACCATTAAATATGATTTGTAATGAGAAATCATTAGTCTGCATTTTTGGGGGCTGTTGTTTAGCCATATGGCCTTTAAATGAATGCATTTTCTGTATTTGGATTGCATTATTGGACTGTTACATATTTTTAATGGTATAAAAAAAACTGAGCCCAGTAAAGTACTTCCTATGTTCATTTCTAGTGATGTCCTTGGAAACACTTTATATAAACAATTGGCAGATTTTTAAATGTTTCCCTCTACTTAAAAGTAACAGGAATTTATATTAAATGTAATTGTCCATAGTATCAGTTTCAAATATTATATTTATTTCTTTATCTGTAATCTGTTATCTTCCAAAACAATTGGATAACAGTAGGTGCTTAATAAATATTTGTTAAATGCATGAGTACATTAGTTTTTCAGTGAAAACATAATATACTATACATATATTGAATTACTTCAATGTTAAAGACAAAAGGTATATAATAAAATGAGAGAAGGAGAAACTATAACTAAACTTAAGTGAGGAAAGCCAAGGAAAATGATCGCTAAACGTTGTCTGGAGTAGCAACCAAGGCATAGCACATCCGTAGTTTCGTCGTCATGAAGGCTGTTGAATAACCTCGATTGTGAACGGTTTTTCCTTCTTCTTCATTAGGAAATGATGTATGTCTGGAATGGTTTTCCGATAGTGAGCAAAAGAAAAGACCTTTCAGAAAATCTGTTGGTCACTGTTGAGAAGGCTGAGGTCGTTTTACAAAATGAAAGTAAGTATGAAAAATCAAAGCCATATTTTGCCGTATGTGGACCGAAGTAATTGCCACTGTTCCGTCCTCCCTCTGTGCATGTCTGCCCATGTCCATCTGTGTGCATCATCAGACCCAGAGAGCTTGGGCTGCAGGGGTTTGGGTGATGGCCCTGCAGGCGAAGGGAGGAATGACACACTGCGACACAGTTAAGCCTTGGGGTGTTAGGTTAAGTGAAAGCAGCCAGTTGCAAAAGGCTACACAGTATGCAATTCCATTTATATGAAATAATGAGAATAGATAAGGCTATGATGACAGGAGGTAGGTTGCCTGGGGAGGGGAGAACTGGGAGTGGGGTGGAAGCTAAAGGGCATGGTGTGTCTTTTTTGGGGTTACAGAAATGCCTTGAGGCTGATAGTGATGCTTGCACAG